TCCAAAGAATAGCGAAATATGTTTTCATGAATCTGAGCAAAAATAGCAAGAAAAAAGAAAATTTTGTTTAAACGAAAGATAGGAGCGCTCAGCTATTATGTAATAGCAGTCAACCTTTATGGCAATGTACGTTATACATTGCCATATAGGTTAGCTATATGGCAATGAAATGGGCACAAATATATAAGAGAGTTGAGTCAACGGAAACTTGTTAAAGATGTTAAATGCATTCTGATATTATCATGGATGTAACATCTGCGCAACGTGGAAGTTTTAAGGAGAAACGGGAACGAATAGAAAACTTTTTTTCTTTCGAACCAGAATCGGTTCAAATTTATTGAAATATAATGAGGAAATGAGGTTTGGAGAATGTGACACTCAGAAGACACACTATATGCAAGAACAAGCTTGTGTAAATGGATAGCAGAATAAGAATATGGGTTTGATTTGATTGTTTAACGGCGTATCAACCCCTTATGCTACAATTTCGTATTATGTTTTTTTTTTCTCTGGTCACAATCCGGCCAAAGAATTATTTTTTATTGTATTAAGCCGCAGGCGTTCGGCTAGAAGCTACACTCTGCGAACAAACCTGGTGTCTGGTTTGGGCTGCAAAGCTACATATTCTTAAAACGCGAAATCAATTTTGTCATAGGGAAATCTGCATAGCAGTTCAAAAAATGGATTTTGAAAGTTCACCATGAAAACGACACCACCTGAATGACCTCGCCGGAATTTTAAAATCCATTTAGAAGGAAATTATTAGAAAATGTCTCACTGATTTGACTCTAAATCAGTAATAATCACAACGTTTTCCTTGAGCCATGGTTGAATTTGGAAAAAATAAAAAGCCGACCACAGATGTTCAGGTAGCGTGGTTACTTAAACAAAAAAAAATTGGGAAAATAAATTTAAAAAATTGATAATTCTTTGATAGTGTTGTTTGAAAAAAAAAGTGTTATTATTAGACACAGTATTTTTTTAACCTCAATAAAAGTGTCACTTACAATGGCTAGATTTGGCGTTTTATCCAAATGAACGAACCATGCCAGTGAAAAAAAAATTCCAATTTTAGTGTTGAGGCTTCATGTCGTTTTGCGACAAAGAATTTAGCTCGTAACCGTGAGACCAAAAGAGGAGAATAAAAAAAAACACATCTGAAGAGATCAAAGGAGTAGTAGAAAAGAGGCGTCAAAGAAAGAAATGAAAGAAATATTTTTTTAAGAAAAAGCAATGTTAAAGATTAACGTTGGAAATTATTGATTCAACTTTGAGGCCGGCTACTTGGAGAGACGGCTGCTACAGTAAGCTGAAATATTATTCATGTAAAATTTGACCCTTTATACTTAATGCAGAAGAGGAATAGTTGATTTTTTTTTTAAACGTCACAGGAATATTTTTAATGCTGTCAACAGCTGCGACACAGAAAAATATTTAACTTTAAAAAATGAAATTAAATGTCAGCAAACGATCCGTAAGCGAAAACAGTCATGTACATGTAGGTGATTAAAAACCTTAAAATAATGGACGTATTTCTCCAAATCGACTAAATTAATAATAAAGACACAAATTTAAATAGATTATTTTAAAATGCTAAAATCGTTAAAAAATGTAGGCGGTCTTGGTTCTACACTTCATTTCCAGCGAATTGCTATGATTCACCGATAACGAAGTGTGGCTTCGCGTCACTTAGCGAGATTGCTGTAATTATTATGAGGACGTGTAGGCGATCAAAAGCCTTAAAGTAATAGATTTATTTGTATAAACACGTTTAAACAGATTTTTATTATTTTTAATGTCAGCTTCATTTAAGCGATCTTGGTTCTACACTTCGCATACAGCCACAACACATTCAGACACAAATTAAGCAACTCCGAGCCTGGTCAATGCCTAGATGGGTAACTGCTTGGGAATACCAGGTACCTGTATGGTTAGATTTGCGGGTGGCTTATAAGAGTGTCGTTGCTGACATTGTGGTTTGAAACTAGATCGCCGGTGAGTAACACGGACGATTCCATTGTTAAGTAGCTCACGTGATCATAAAGGAAGTGAATAAATAGGAAGTAGTGTGATGACTATATGATCACTGTTCACTCTTCTTGTCTGTCCACTATTACTATACGTTCACTCTCTCTACTACTATACGGCTTACGATTGTCTTCTGATCATTATACTATTTGGCAATTACTACTTGAACAAGTATTACTAGTGCGGATATTATTGGAAGGCGTTACTGCTAGCACCGGCGTCTACAAAGTCTCGAATATAACGAGCATTTTTAGAAGTGATAACGAGCTTTCGCTTGGCATAGCAAAAGTGACAAGAGAAGACGTCCAACATCATAAAAGTTTAATAGATAAGAAGTCGGAATTGTAGATCGGGTAGTCGAGTTCTAATTCCACGTGCTTTCGTTATACTAACTTATCTGCAAATACTCTGAGGAAAGGTATGAATCCAGCACTTCCCCTCCATCTATGGGTTAATTGGTGGGACTTTTATCACTAAATCATTATTATCTCCAAAAATAAAATAAAATTGCGCACAAAATATGTAGATATGACACAAGACGAACAATGAGAATTGGGAAGTCTGATCCCCACTGCCTTATCCGGCCAGATACTGTAAAAATAGTCAGTTCGCTGTACCGCCCCCATAAGACTCTGACTTTTCCTGTTATACGTTTACACGATCCAGATCTGTCCGAAGAATTACTGCTGCTCTAAAAGGACAGGAGCTGCACAGCCTTCACTTTCATTTCTCGCCGGAATGTTTTTTCTTTTTCTCTTTTTTTCTTTTTTTTTTTTAATCATTAACCTTGAGGAAGGTAATAAATCCATTAAAACACAAGGTGGTGCTACTGAGTGTTAGGGATTTTGAGAAAAAAATCTATGAAGGGGAGAGAACAATAAAAGGACAAGAATTAAGTAGACAGAAGACAACAGTTGACATTGCATTTACATTTTAGAAAAACCATCTTGACTGGGAAGCAAGAATCCAATCTAGTACTGTGCCTAAATTTCTGAAGATTAGGTGCCATAGAGAAAAGTTGATCATCACATGTACCATAAAAGTATTTATAGAAAAGGCTTAGGGAAGCTACGTTGGGGTGGTGGGAAAGAGACTGAAACCGAGATGCCAGGTCAGGACCAATAAAATTGTGGATTCGTACGGCGGATTTGTTTATAGCGCACAATCGACATTAAACGAGATTTTTGTGTGTAGGAAATCAACATCTTTCTTTTATGATCATGTCCAATTTCAATTACATGTGATGTAAATTCTTCTTGCTGTCGGAAGGGCTTTGGCTCTGCAAAATCCCAAAGACCCTTTCCAAATAAGAAAACCCAATCTAGCAGTGCTGATGAAGAGAGGCCTTCTTTAACATTTATTCTTTTTACCATTTTCCAAAACTGATTAAATATAGATGAGATCTTTCACATTTTATTGACACGTGCACACCATGCATGACATTATGTTACGAGAAATCGGCAGTAGCAGATTTGACGTCATCATCACTGCAATACTGATTCTGAGCTAAGTGTTTTTTTTTGGGGGGAACAGATGATAATCAAGGTAAGTGAAGAGGAAAAAGTGATCAACCAATTCAATCCAGCCACGCACAAGGAGTTGCGTGCTGGAGCATTGTCCTCGTGGAAAAAAAAAACAGTCCTTTCATCAGTTTTTTCTGGGTGTTTGGTCTTGATAGCCTTTCGTAACTGCCCCAGCACGTTGGCATAGCGCTAACCATCGATGGTATTGACATTTTGAAGATAGCCAACAAACACAACGCCTTTTGCATCCCAAACTCTACGTCACCCTTGTTTCGAACTTGTTGATCACCCTCACTATTTTCTTGATTTAACTATCATCTCTTCGTCAACATTGAAAAAATTGGCTGGGAAGCAACAGTGTTGACTTTTTGTACAACAGGATAGACAGGTTCCGTTCAACAGTCAAATGTCCTTTCGTGTTCATACTGTTTATCCTGTTCCTCTTTCCCAGTCTCTGCTCTGCAATCTACAAAGTCTTTAGCATTGGGCGGCAGTCTTTCTAGATATGGTGTCGCGACAAAAACACCCGGATGTAGGGTTTTGGTTTGCGTCCTACATTTTGTATCAAGAACTGTCATGGCAGCCACTAACTGCATTGGATATTATCAGCTCGTCTTGAAGCACGACTGGATGGAACATATACTACTAAGAAAAATCCAGAACATCAGTTAGAGTTCCTATGCAATGCTTAACACGATTTACGGAGAACTGAGATCAATCTCTCTTAAGTTCAAACAAAAACGATTACAGGTTGGCGGTCACTAGCAGGAACTGGACAGGGAAATCATGGCATCCTTCTGGAAGTGTCTTCTTCACGAAAATTGACTTTCTCCAGACACCATAGCTCGGTCTCACGGTAAAGGAATCTGGAGACAGCAATGCAGGACCGAAGTCTGGAAAGAGATTGTCAATGGAGTTTCGACCAACCGAAGGGTGATTTGTCTAAACTCGTTTAGGAAGTTATTCACCGTTTGGTTCTGTTATTTAATTTCAGTATGTCCTGTGAGTATCAAATTCTCCACGCTCTCCGTCCTCATGTTTTTTTTTCTTTTAAACCATTTTCAAACACTGGTCTGAGAAAACTGTTAAATATCGATGATATTTTAAACATTTTTAAACAGGCATGACGTCCGTATGAATGTCTGCGCCTGACGAAGTTATTTAAGAACATGTCAAATACTGAGGTCAATATTTGTTCAATTTTTTTTTTTTTTAATTTTGTATATTGCCTATTTTATGTCCAATGTCATTATCTTTTATATTACAACTTTTATAACACTACACCGTCGTATGTGAACTGTTTAGAATTTATCAATTTCAGATTTTGCATGGATTTAGGATTAATGGCAACACTTTTTTCATTCCAAATCTATATCATTTTTCAGTCCTAAAAGATTAAATGATCATATTTTCTCGTTTATTTCTCATAAACTTAGTGCCGTCAAGACTTATGGTCACATCACGTTGAAACATGGGTTTCCGTACGATCACTGAAGTTAAGCAACGCCGAGTCTGATCAGTACCTAAATGGGTGACCGGTTGGGAATGCTGTATGGTTGGATGTGCTGGAGGTTTAATGAATATGGATTCGGAATTGTTAATCGGAAAGCCGGCTTCCAATTCTTGTTTGGTTCGCTTATATTCACTTACAGGCAAATACTCTTGGAATGAATCCAGGTACTAGTTAATTAGAAAGATTTGTATCCCGAAAACAATTGTTATCTCTGTAAAATTTTAGAATATGCCAATATTTTCTGGCTTTAAATAACTGTTATGGTAAATTATCCATACACAGATGAACTCTCCCAAGTTACAAATAACAGCAAGTACTGCTTTTTCTTTTTTCTTTCTTTTTTTTTTTTTTTTTTTTTTTTTTGAGAGAAAAAGTTTTCTTTTCAGCACTCAGCTCTGGCAGTAGGACATAACATTCTTGCTTGTTTGTATATGATTGTATTACCGGTTTTCCTTTAATATATTTGTTAACTGAAATCCTCTCTTGTTTTTTTTTTTTATTTCGGGCACCAACAAGTCTACAACAATACCATACAAAGCGTTGATAAGACGAAGAAAACAAATCAATGTTTGCGGTCAATGTCATATTTTTAATTAACAGTTGATTTTACTTTTTTTTTTGTTTTTGCTTGGTGATGTATCGTTTCTTATAACTATTATCGGATATAGCATATTAATCGGCACGGAAATATTGTGGTTTTAAAACGAAGCTGTAAGTTGCTTGAATTATTAGAAAAACATTCTCTATTAGGGAAAATGAAATTTATTTACACTATTTACATTATTCGGACTACTGTCCTCGTCTTTGTCGCCATATTTATTACAACGTTTCAGCCGTAACTAACGCTTTTACCCACTGTGTCATGTGTCCTTGAGGACATCTGTGTATGAATTTCTAGGTATTATAAACGTAATGTCTTCAGCAACTATTTTTTACCAGTGCTCATATTGCAATTTTCGGCTGTTATCATACCACGTTTTTACCAGAGCTCATATTATAATTTTCGTTATAATTAGTTTCTCTAGCATTCCTTATTACTGATTTTCATATTCATTTCTATGCTTGGTCGGCTCAGGATATTTTTGGTGCCTAGCATATGTGCTGATTCCTTAAGTTTACGAATTTTCCAGTGATGTTTTTTTTGTCTATGATCTCCCTTTTCTCCCCATATGTGGTCAGCCACGCCTGATTTTTCCCTAGAACAGTCTACCCCAGCGAGCGAAATAAAGTGTTCATTTAGGCATTCCAACCACCTGAAGAAGGCCAGAGCGTACAACGGCCGAAACGATGTAATAAATATGGCGACAAAGATGAGGACAATGGTCCGAATAATGTAAATAGTGTGCCTAGCCCATAGAGTTGTTGATATACCGATAAACAAAATCAACGACACAACCTACCCTAAGCGCCTCAAACGTCAGAATAATGTAAATAGTGTACATAATACCTCATCCCAGAAATATAGGCAGACATTGAATTTATTTGTATAATGTTTTTTGATCTGAAATCATGCTTTTGGAACGCTAAAGTATTGCTCTTTATACATCATTCTTATCCCAACTATGAACACCTGTACCATCAGCATACTACCTTATCGCCATTATACTAGTCTCTAATACTGTTACTTCTTAGTCGATTCGTTTGCGATGTTTTACATTATAGTTACATACACTACACCCATTTTGTTCACATAATCGCTTATACACGAGTGAAGCCTGTGCGTAATTTTCGAAAGCGTATGTGTGCGCGCACGCGCATCAATTTCGCTGAAAATCAAATCTAAGCAAAACCTTTTCGAATATCATATAGCGGTTTGTTGTTTGCTTTTTTTTCCGCTCAAGTACGGAAGATCAGATATTTTCCATGAGAGGAAATGAAATATATCGACGTAAGTTATCAAGCTGCGTTACTTCAGAATCAATATTGCGAATTATATATATATATATATATATATATATATATATATATATATTTGCTGAGAGTTAATTGAAAAGTTAATTGTCCGACTATGATTGTTTGATGCTAGAGCTGTGAAATTTTACATGCATTAATTTCAACACTGCTTATTAACCACTGCATTGTTACTGTCAAGGTACGAAGATGGGTTGAAATTTCGTAGGTTGACTATGAAAGAGTGATTCTGGAGCTGGGAAATTCTTGCATGCATTAATTTCAAATCTCGCTATTAAGAACTGCATTGTTTCTCTCCAAGTACGAGGTTTCGGCTGAAAAGTCGCATGCCAACTATGAAGAATTGATGCTAGATACATGCATTAATTCCAAATTTTGAATTAATGTCAACTCTCCGATTTCCAATTCCGGGCCGTTATCCATTACTTCGCCTTCAAATCCAAGCTTACAATGCCTGGCATCCGCAAGCAGTCACCTATCTAGGTATTAACCACGCTTGACGTTGCTTAACTTCGGTGATCGTACGGTGTTTCAACGTTATATATGGTCGTAAGTCGCGAAAAGAAGAAAGGATTAGTAACGATTAGATAGAATACATGGTTATGAGCAAAATGGGCAGCCCAAAATAGGGCTTAGAAATAAGGGACGTCGAAATTAACTAGTTACAGACATTTAACTATTAGAGAAGTGTAATAAGTGCTAGAAATTCGAAGCTGCGTAGCGAAAGAAACAAAATGAACAATTAAGACAGAGGAAATGTTTGTTAGAATCTAAAAGAGAAAAAAAACGGAGTTTGTTTTAAATCTGTAATCTCCCATATGTCAAGTGGATGCTGGGAAGTCTCTTAACAGATGGAAAAGTGACTTGAGAGAAAATAGATGCGGCTCTAGACAGAAATTCTCGGAATATCAAGGATAAAATATACGATCAATGAGACATCCATAAGCAAAACAAAAACAACGACGCTAACTTTTCTGGCACACATAAAGGAGAAAGTAGTCTTTGAGAATTCAACACTCACATGACATATTAAGGCAAGAGAATTATGAGTAAAAAATGAGTTATTTATTTCAGGAGTTTCAGCAAATGATTGGACAAAGAAGAATAGTTAAGCAGTTATATTTACTTAAAGCGACAACAGGGAAGATTTTGAGACACATGAAGATCCACTCGTTCAAAGGCTAGGACCGACCTCAGTCTTGATAATAGGAAAGACATAAAGCAAAGCAAAACTTTCTGGGACACATAAATAATAAAGAAGGCTTAGAGAATTTAGCATTCACGACATAAATCAACAACAGAAAAGTTTTGGTGATCCATGAACACGCACTTGTTTAATAGCTAGTACCGACCGCAGTTGAGAAAATGGTCGTTGAGAAATCTACGATTGTATCCTTAGCTGCATATGGCATGGGTAGCGCCAGTGTAAAGTACTTTTTTTTTTCTAATTCATATATTGTACTAACAATATCAGAACTAAAAACCATTTGGAAACATCTGCCTGAAATCAAGAATCAAACTGATTGGCCTTAACAGTCTTTCTGTAGGCATGCGAATCTTGGATATTAATAGCAGAATTACGTGGAAACATCCAAGCATTAGAAATAAGATGCAACAAAACCCATCCTAGGCGCCTCTTACGTAGACCACATCACAAATGAGGCAGTGAGAAGACACCACCAGACAAGAAAAAAGCGTTTTGGATTTTTTTTGACCACTGTTAAGAAGAGAAAGTTGAAAGAGCAAACACTCTTCCACTGCCATTCTACAAGGTACTTACTACCTTAGGCAGTCGAGGAAGACGGAGAGGAAAATGGCTTGACAAAACTGAATGAACGGGAAGATCATTCGCAGAGACTCTGATATTGTCATGCTACCGAGATATAATGAAAGAACTATTCACTGCGCAGTGACTCTACGACCACACCCAGTCAAGAAAGGGAAATGATTTTGTCACTTGATATCTAGCGAGAGCTACCATATACAAGGAACGGCTCGGATTAAGGAATCGGTGAACCGAGTTCGATTTCCAGTCGGATCCATTACATTCACTTACCCTTGAGAAAAGTACGAATCCTCTTCTTCTCCACTAGCTATGGATAAATAGCAGGATGACTGTTTCCTTCTTCTAGACCGGTCTAGGAAAAGAATTTCAAAACCGACCCGGAGAGGGTTGGGCTCCGTCAGCCCATCTTGCTCAAGAAAGATCACTTCTACTGCGGCTGCAGTGCATGTGATGCGCCTACGACCCTGATAGGTCACGGGATTCGCAATCGCAATGCACCACTGTTAAACGCCAATTAAAATGTAAAATAGTCCTCAAGAATTGACATCCTTTCTTTGATATTCAAAACAGTCATAAAGATAATTTCCCAGTGGCTGTCTATAATATTTAATTCTACTGCCTTTTTTTTATGCATTTTCTTCCCTTAGCGTATATTTTTACTTTTTTTTTACGGAAGGTAAACGTGTTCGGTGGAGCAAACTGCAAAAAGAGGACGTGCAACCAGAAATGAGATAAGTTATCAAAACGAAAAGTACATCTTTAAAAGATGTACTTTTCGTTTTGATAACTTATCTCATTGGAACGAATCGTGATTTCAATCATCGAGGCTCCCTATCAGTAACAGATGGTGGCTTTCACTAGATACCGATAAAGCAATTATTCCTTTTCTATCCGACGTATCGCTTTAGGACACGGGCTATCATGTCTCTTCCCGACCTACTTCGTGTTTGCATCGTTTATCCCGTACCCTCTTTTCCAATCTCTGCTGCGTCCTGAGTATGACGATAAAGTACATCCACGTCCTGGGTATGACGATAAACTACGTCCAACAGCAAGGCCTCAGATAATGTTTTCGGGAAGATAATGTTGCCAGCTATACGTTTCTGGAAAAAGTAATGCTGCAAGCTATACGTTTCTGGAAAAAAAAGTAATGCTGCCAGCTATACGTTTTCTTTCAAATGCTGCCACTCTTTACGTTTCTGGAAAAAAAATTCTGCTGCCAGCTATACGTTTCTGGAAAAAATTTAAATTTGCCAGCTATACGTTTCAGAATATTTGCTGCCAGCTATACGTTTCTGGAAAAAAGTAATGCTGCCAGCTATACGTTTTAAAAAAAGTAATGCT